CACCAAATGGGATATAATTTCAAACCTGGAAAATACAAGCTCGCTAAGGGATATGATTTAATAGCATATCATCCAAATGACATGGATGAATTTACTCCGAGATATTTGGTGTCAGAGCTAAATGATAATTCAACTCTCTCATGAAACGCGTAAAAAATAGAGACGGAACGAAAGAAGAAAGGTTTATGAGTCCGGATGACTTAGATAGGGAACTTTTTAAAAACGGTCTCGGAATATATGAAATGCCAGCAGATGAGGTACAAGAAACTCCACAGGAAGAAGTTCAGATACAACCAGACATGGAAGAAATAGTTCAGCAACAACAGCTAGAAGAGCCTGAAGGAAACAAACAAGTCCCTCCTTTGGAAACTAACTTCACAGAACTAGATGAAGATTTGGAACAGCCGAAAAATCTTGACCCTCAACAAGAGTATGCGGAGAATATGGAATCTTTCCAAGAGTCTAAGAAAAATTCAGCTGACATAGTAGAAGAATATCGAAAAATGTTCGCCGACATACAAAAGACTCCAACATCAGATGAAAATATCCAGCATAGAATGGAAGTACTGAAAGATAATGTACACAAATACAACAATCCTTTTTACTTACGAGCATATAACGTTCAATCTTTGGATGAACTCGGTGAAATAAAAGGTTAAATTTCAACAAAACATATAGAAATGAAACATTGTTTAAAGTTCATTCAGAACCTAGCCAATATGGAAACAAACCTACTTTGTTTTTCTGCAGACGATGGAACTACAATGAGATGGCGTCATAAAGCTAATCCGGATAGGTGGTTCATTAACCTTACAACCACAATTCCAAGAAGTTGTAGACGCAATGGAAGTGAATGGTGAACCAGATGTAGCTGGTATTTTAGCGCGGCTTTAATGCCATTGAAAGATATGAAACATGCAGATATTTTGGACCAGTATGAAATGAACATGGCTGATGGAAATATAACACCTGACGTTCTAGAACATTTATCTCAAAGAACTACACAGAACCATAGAGATGGTATATTTGGTGAAGAGTTTAGAAAGAAAGTTAGGGAGAGAGAAGGAAGAGAACCTATTGTACATGACCTTGCAAACGAAAGTTTACAAAATGTCATAAAAACTTACTTTGCAGACAATGAACTGAGAAGGGATGAATATTTAAGAAAACTCAAATGGACAGTACCAAATGAAATGTTAGTATTGAAAAACATGTTCCTTGACAAAATAAAACCAACTACAGAAATAAATGACGAAAGACTGAAAGATTGGGTAAAAGCTTTCCCATTCACAAAAAGATATTGTTGGTAACATGGAAAGAAAACCAGAATGGCTACAAAAACATATATTTGGAAACGAGCTTATTCCATATGGACAAGCTATGATTTGAAGAGCTTGAACCGGAAACTCAGGAAAGAGTCATGCAAACAATAGCGAAGACTCAAATACAAACTATGACAAAATCTTTCTAGGATATAGGTTACCTGAGATGGGCGACCAGAGCCCAAAGGCAAAAAGGACATGGGAAATTTACAACATACTAGGTGAACATGAGGCAAAAGATGCAACAAAACTCAGTCAGGAAGAAAGTAAAGCTTGGTCGGAGTGGGTTCTATTATGACACATAAATCCAACTATTCTATATTTTTACCCATATAAAATGTACGCCGCTCAGAATATAACGCCAACAGTTTTGGATGCCATGAACGGAAATGTTTCCGAATGGTATAACGAATGCGACAATGCCATTAGAAGGTCAGAAATAGTCCTGAACTTACGAATATACAACTGCTGTTTCTTATGGAAACGTAGTGAGTTTGGAGAAGGTTCTTCAACAACAGTAGATATTGCAGCGACAGGTTTCACATTATTTCTATTGACAACTCATTCTTATACGTGGAACAAGACATTGAAATAAACCTTCTGCCAAGTTGTCTGACAAGAAAGGTTGCAATGGAATTTTCTATGTCGGATACCAATATGCTCCAGAAGTTTTCATGGGATATAAGATATATTCTAACTCTGACTTAGTCCAAACGGTAACATGGGCAAACTATGAATGGTTCGCTTTGAGAAACTCAGTAACAACCACAAGCTAGAGAACAAACAGACCAGTATGCAACTATTGAGAAAATAAGAAGACTTGACCCTAACGTTCCAGGAGTTTATGTTAACCTTTCTGTTCAGATGGAAATGCTGCCACTAAAGTAAAACTGAAACTGTAGAGTTCCTTTGTCATCTTTCCTCATCTTCAGGTTTTTAAGATACTGCCAAACTGGGCAGGAAAAATTTCTATCGAACTTACTCCAAGCAAAAATAACTTAGTCATTGCACCAACACAAGACCCATTCACTCTTACTGTAGCTGAGAACTGTGGAGCCAAGTTCTGTGACTTTTGCAAAGATAAGGTTGACTTAGACTTTGGTTTCTCAAACTTCAACACTGAAGTAAACTATTATTTCAATGCTGCTGGAACTGCTTGGGACCCAGTTAAGTTCACATATGCGAAAAGTTTGAATGCAAGAGAATAGAAAGCAGACTTGCAGTCTATATGTTGGACCCAGATATTTCAAAAGCTTTAGCTGCCAAATATATTGCAGTCCACTTATGTTCCCTATACACCAAATATCTGTCAAAGACTTTGCAGGTGAAGTTGGAAAACCAAAGTGCTGACCCAGGTGCAAGAACAGATATTGCTTTAACAACTGCAATGAAACATGCAGATACTATGTTTGTACTGTTCAGACGAACTATAAATGACTATTCTTGTTTCTAACAACCCTGGTATTAAATTTATATAAACATAGATGGCAAATATTATCCAAGAGAAGAATATTCTACAGTTGAGGATATGAGGTCATACAACTTGACATTAGATGCTATGAACTTTAACAACAACTTCACAACAACCATTAACCTGAAATGCAAAGTTCTATTATGCCATATGTGAAAGTATGGACTCATACAGGAGGTCAAAAAACTCAAATATACAAATGGAGACCGTTCAAACTTTTGGCTTGGCATTCCATTTGCTGACTCAGAAGACTTTATGGGTGGTATTTCAACTGTTGGTACAGTTTCAAATACAATATACTGGGTGACAGAGACGGTCCAGATGAATTGAAACAAAGAAGTTTACAAAACCAATAGCACTTTTCACGGAAGATGCTCTTTTGAAGATTCGTTCGATGAAACCTGCTGGGGCTCCTCAGATTGGTATAACGACAGCTTCCATCGAGCAGATTTTGGCAGCAGAGTCAGTAAGTTGTTCTTGAACTGACTTCTCTCCGTCAAATATTGACAGTACGCCAGTTTTGACTAATATTGTATTATAAACTTTCCTTAGTATATCGGTCAGTTTTTGAAGTTATATTTTTGTCAACGTCAAGAACTTTCACCATCTCGGTTATACCAACTTTCTTTGCTTTATGAAAATATTTAGGTTCAGCAAAGACTGCTATTCTATAACATTTTCCATTGTTTGTGTAAAGAACTATTCTGTCAATGTATTTGTATTGTTTGTGAGTATAAACCTTGTTTTGCTTCAATTCGAAAGATATCCGAATACGTCCATCTTTTTATTCTAAATAAAATGTCATTTCCGAAAAATAGAAGCATAAGTGTTTCAAAAGGTTTAATGGCGGTGGCAGATGTGAAGTTAAATTCACCAACTCAAACAAACAGTCAAAGTGTTGTTGTCAATGTCAAAGACAGAGATGTTGAAGTGGGGAAACCATACGAGGCGAAGATGGTATAACAATTGTTCCTGTAAAAGAACAACCAACATTCCTGAAGTTAGCAGAGACTTAAGTTCTGTTGCAGATATTCGAAATTACTACATGCAACTGAAAGATAAGCTTAAAACTCAGGAGAAGATTTGTCTAAGCTTTAGGTATAATGTTAAACTTGGTCGAACACAACCTGTAAAAGTGAACTCATATGTCATCGCACCTCGTGAAATTTTGAAAGAACTATTGAAACTTTTGACAGAGGCAGACGATATAAACATCAAAGAAATAGAACCCGACATTGCTTGCTGTGGTGTTTCATATAATATCATGACAAATATACGTTATGAAAGGAGGTGAAACTGTATGAACTTAAATATAGTTCCCAGACGTTTATAAAAATATTTGACGACCACAACATTTCATTAAATTTATTGCTAAGTAAATGGCAGAAGACATAGTGGTTTTATACTATTACGACTAAAAACCCTGAGTCATATAATTCATAAAACAAAACTTACAAAGTCCTCAAGGACGATATTGTAAACTACCTTAAACACGATGACGACTAAAGCCTGTTTTGCCTCTTTTGACACCAGAAGAATTTATTGTTTGATAAGGTAAAAAATACTTCTTTGAAGATATACTCTATCAGATATACCACCAACAGGTTTGTTGACTTATTAATACTTTAAGGACGGATGTAACATGTGCTGCAACTAGAGCAGTTTCATTATGTTTGGATGTCCGACTGAGTTTAGTATAAACGATATGAGCTATAATACAAAACTTATATCTGGTTTTTACTACCAACAGTTTCCTATAACAGGAAAGGTGTCATACAAGGTCTATCCGTTCATTGACTTTAAGTACACCTATTTTATATATTGTTTCAAACTTAGGTTCAAAGTGCTATTCGAATATCGACAGAAACTACTATGACCAAAAGATACTCATGCGTATAACAACACATTCTCTGGTGGTTTGCCTATTGTTCATTCGAATGCAGGAGTTTTCAGCTTTAGTAAACTCAAACACTTTAGCAAACATAAACTACCTTAGTCGACGCAAACTTTGTTCCTGTAAAACTTTTATGTCCTATGTATTTGTCAATGACGGCAGAAGTGTTTCGAATTGGAAGATGCAACTGGTGAAAGTATTGTATTACAAGAACAACTTCAACAACAAATAGCCAAGAACAACAAATGCAACAAATGGACAATGCAACAATAGCTCAAGAATAAAAAAATAATATTTTTTTTATTTTTAATAAAATTGTCCCAATCTCTCAAGTATAACAATTGGTAAAAAAGTTGAGTCAATTGGAGAAAGTGCTTTTTCTGGTTGTTATAGCTTAACTAATATTACAATCAAAACAACAAAAAATATCACCGAATCAATCGCAGTTAATGCATTTGATGGCTGCTTAGTTTCTTATTTATTTTATGAAACTACAGAATTCACATTAATCAGTTTTGATGGATTCCAAAATAAAGTTCAAGCAATTAAATTTAACATTTCAAATTCAAAATCAATTAGAAAAATTCAAGAAATAACATCATTGCCATCTTTGTCTCATTTTACAAAATTAAAATATATCATAATCCAAAATATAAATGATTTAACAATCCCAGAATCTTTTGCTAAAGGAGATGATATTGAAATCTTTATTGCCAACAATATAAAGTATATCGATCCATATGCATTCAAAGATTGTTCTATTAGCAAATTCACATATCTTGGAACAGACAAACTTGAAGGAAATTTCCTTAAAAACGCCAAATCGTGCCAAGAAGTAATAACATCTTCAGAGTATAATTATAATAAAATTGGCGGAAAAGCAATTAATCTCAAATTTAATAAAGTAACTGGTAAATACGAAAAACCAAATAATAATATCGGTAAAATAATAGGCATTGTTGTGGGAGTGTTAGCTGCTCTAATTATTATAGGAGTTATTGGCTTCATTATATACAAGAGAAAATCTGCAAAGAAAGCTGACAATTCAAATATTGATGAAGAAGAAAACAATATTGTCGCGGAAAATCCATAAATTGAATGATCATACTTATATATTATATTTAGTAAAATTTTTAATTTTAGTTTTTTTCTAAATATACATAAAATATGAAATTCTAATACAACCATTATATCATACATGAAGTGTATTATAATAACACACTTTGGGTTTGAAACATTTTCTTTCATCTACTTTTGGGACAAATGAACTATATTACCACACAAATACCGTAAAATGGAGTTTTGAAGTAAATATAGTTCTTTTATCCTAATTGATTGTTTAGAATTCTAAATTGTTAACAAATATGATTTGTGTTATTAATAATATATAATCAATTTGGATTATAAATACCTTTAATCATACAAGTGGTATATATGATGAAATAATGATTTGTTACTGATCATATATTGAATCAACTAGAGTGAAAACTAGATGCATTACTTTCCTCATCTATTGATAACCTCAATTAGTTTGAAGATCGATCCCAATAATTCCCAAGATTATGGGAAACTGAACAGGTGGAGAAATGCTATTATTGATAATATAAACAAACAAAATTTTATTAAATAAAACAAGTTACAATTCATCAAATTGAGGATTATTTTCATTAGATGAAGATGTTTCATTAGTTCCAAGAACTTTCTGCAAATATTTTTTGAGTTTTTCTTTTTCAATTAAAGGAAAACTCTGAGATCTGTAAACTAACTTCATTAATTCCTGAGAAACAGCCTTTCTATCGAAATCTGGCTCTTTAACACTCAACTTCTTAGAGCCACAAATATTCACAAACCTAATTAAACTTTCACGATTGAAACCTTCTCTGAGAGAGTCATCATCACGCTTATTACGCATGGGAAAGATCCTTACATGAGGGACTCCTTCCATAAACGGAAATCCCCCTTCACAGCTATTTTTTGTGATATCAATATATCCAAATTTGAGAAAATCTTCATTTGAACACTCAGAAGCAAAGTTTTGGAATACAGGGAAGAAGTTTGCACAATGTTCGCAGCCTTCTCTTGTATACAAAACAATGACATCTTTTTCTTCATCATTTATGAAGTTTTTGTAGGTTTTTCCAACAATTTTCTGCAGAGTATTGTTTATTTCTGGTATAGGTTCTGATGCAAAGACGGGTTTGAGTTTTTCATTTCTGATATCTTCCAAAATTTCTTTAAATCGAGATATATACTCGGTAGAATTAAATTGTTTTGCGAGAAAATCCTTTGTAAAGTAATTGGAAGTCTCGTAATAATAGTTTTGTTTCCAATTAAAAATAACAATGTTTTTTCCTCTTTGTAATCGATAATGAAGGGTCTGTTCTGCATAATTAGTGAATCTTGGGCCAAGGTATCCAACAACAAACTCTTCATACAAAAGACCAATTTCATAAAGCGTTTCTTTCATTTCTGGAGAATATCTGTTTGAAGAAATGGCAACAAAGGTCTTATCTTCATCCATTATGTCGGAATATCCGATTTTTCTACAAATAGGAATAGAATTTCTTAGAAAACTGGAGTGTGGTAGAATTTACGAAAAAGTGACACTTAACCTTAAATTTTCAAACACTATTTTTTGATTGTATTTTGTTATTTATATATGTATATATTTATATATGTATATATTTATATATGTATATATTTATATATGTATATATTTATATATGTATATATTTATATATGTATATATTAGTAGTATATAATGCGGGTTTTGTGACTTTTTTTGTAAACGTAAGAATTCATACAATATCGAGTGATTTTGTATCATTTTTTTTAACATATGAAGTAAAAAATGTATGATTCTTACGGTTTTTATTCTTACGTTTTTGAATAAATCAAGATTTAAAAAATTTTCAAAATTGTAAGACATTTAAAAAAAAAAAAAAAAAAAAAAAAAAAAGGTAGTGGGGCTTCCAGGGGCTGCGCCCCTTCTAGCCCTGAAGATGTTTAGTATAAATGAAGTTTTTATTCGGTATATTCTGAATCTTGAATGTCTTGGAAATTTTCTTCTTCTTCGCTCTCTGAGGTGAGGATTTCTTCGACTTCTTCTTCTTCGCCATTGGGAGCAACAAATCCTGCGATGAAAACTTTGTATATACCTTCTTGAGGAGTCTCTATGATGAAAGTCGTATTGTTGAGGAAATGGAACTCGACATCTTGAACAAATTGGCAACTGCTGTGTGTGAATTTTGCAATTGTGAGAGGCTTTCCTTTATAGCCCTTGGGAAAGCTTGAGATAGTTACTGTTCCTCCATATGGAACTCTGGCAGGAATATCTAAAGCAACAGTTGTTATAACGTGGAAATTGTCTTGAAATTCTGGTAAAGGTTCAATGCAGTATAGTCGTTTTGACTGGTTGTCTTTTGTGTAGAAATATAAATAGAATGACCTTTCACCATGTTCATTCAATTCTTCCAAATAATTGTATGAATTTGGATATAAACGGACAAATTCAGCAATTTTAACTTCTTGTAAATGCTTCTGCAAGTTCTTTGGAAACAAGTGAATGAACTGGTCAATAGCTTGCAACGCTATGAGATTGGCAGTAACGGGTAAATATGAAGCAAACATGTCAACAAGTACGCCAGGGTCTTTGATTTCGTTTTCAAGAGGCTGAATGGCATCCATGACAGCTTGAAACATCTCGTTATAATCTCGATTGTCTTCTGAACCCCACTGTTCATTTAACTTATCTAACAATTCTAACCTTTTCTTTGCGTATTTTCTACGAACTTTCTCTGAAAGAGGAGTGTCGCTATCTTGTGTGTCTTGAATTTGAGACTTAAATTGTTTGCTAAAGGCGAGATATCGTGTTTGCGACCTAGTGGTCATTGCAGAATGTGTTTCTGTATGTTCGATTGGATGTGTTTCTGTATTTTCGGGTGGTTGTGTTTCTGTATGTTCGATTGGAGTCTGATTGGTATGAACTTCTTCTGAAAATGCTTCTGTTCCGATAGTTGTTGTTGCCTGACCTGTTGGCTGAGCTGTTTCTTTGTGCAAATGCATATTGTCCAACAATTGTCTTGAATTGTATGAGGAAGTTGCTTTGGTATTATAGGAGGTCGTAAGGGTTTTGAGAATGGTGAGACATAAGTTGTAGGAACTTTAACTGCAGAGGTAGTCGACGAATTGTTTGCGACACTTTTTCTTCCTTCCATTATGAAAAATGAACTGTTTTTTTCGGACTACTCATAGAAAAGTTTAAAATAAACCGTTTTCGTCAACGGTAACCCCTCTATTTTTTTATTTTATTTAATAGTTACCGTTGGCAAACCGTTCCATCTCAAATATTGAATGAACTATAAACGTTTTTTGTTTTCTATATATACTTTTTTGTCCAACGGTAAAACTTTTTACACAACGGTTTTTGAGAGTCGTCGCCGTTGACTTTTTTGTAGAGCACTCAAAATAGTATAACTTTGTCCGGACAAGTAAGGGTCTATCGTCGCTACAGGAAAAGTTACAGGCGTTCCAAGGAAGTATACTTTGAGAAGCCTTTTCCCCTTATAGAATGAGATAGGACGGTTATTTTACAAAACTGACAACACTTTGACCGAGTAGTTTTTTGTGCTGAACAAAAAGTGTCATATAAACATCTGTCAAAAACCGCTTTTTAACTTCACTTAAAATGCCACGTAAGCTACGTAAGAATATACGTAAGAGGAAGGGAGCATTGAAACATCCAATAGTAAAACTGACACCACAACAACAGTTGCAACAACAAATGATGAATGACCCCACTATGTTGCAACAAATGTCAAGCAACCCTATGCTTTTAAACCGAGTTATTGGTGCACAGAGTGGAGGTTTAAGAGCGGCACTTTTAGCGAAAATGGCAGGCTATGGTGGAGCTGCAGACGGAACAGCTTATAACCCTCAAAGTCAAATGAATTTGAGTTCACTCAAAAATCAAATAACAGATGTCAAAAAGTCAAACATAGACATACAGAAACAAATAAGTGAAAACGAAAAGAAACTAGAATATGACAGACACACAAAGAAACTCAATGAGTTAAACGTAGAGAAAAAGAAGAAAGAAGAACAACTGAAAGAACTAAGTACAGAGGAATATGCGAAAAAAGTGTCAGAAAAAGCAGCAGAAGTAGCAAAAATGGAACAAGATGTTATAAATTTGAAAAACCATACTACTCAATATAAAGTACTGAAAGATGAAGAATAAAACAAAAAGCCCTGAAGACATATATGGATAGCGATGAGTATAAAAAAGAAGTTGAAGCAAATGTAAAGGCAGAAAAACTTTTACAGTTGCAAAACCAAACCGTACAGTATGAAAACTTAGCACAAGAAAGTAAAAATAACGACGCAGCCATGCAAAAGGCAATGAAAAGCGCAGAATATATAAAAGCTAATAATGACTGGTTAGATGCCCAAGCCAACGCTAAAGCAGCCCAACTTATAGGGTCAATAAGGACAAAAATACAAGCGGATGAAGACAGTTCAAATGAAGCTTTAATGAATGCTGACTTTAAGAACGCCTTCGAAGCTCTTCATAGTAAGGTGAAACTAGTGAACGACTTCTCATCTGGAAAGAAACTGAAGTCTGAAGGTTTCGACAAAGAGTTAAGAGAAGTAGCACAAAATATGACGAAAATAACAGATGCAGCAACGAGACAGGCAGTTCAAAGTGCCTATGACGCCGTTAGAGCAACTGTTGTGGAAAGTCAAGAAAAAGAGTTACAACAGACCAAAACAGACCTAGTAAATGCTTTCTTAAAAACGAAAAGTCAGGTAGGACATTATGCTGCAGATGGAACATATGTGCCAGCTGGTGGAACTTATATACCAGCTGGTGGAACTTATATACTAGCTAGTGGAACTTATATACCACCAAACCCTCCAAGAGAAGCACCTGCACCAGGACTACCTAAAACATTTACATCGTCACATGGACACAGACACAGGCATGCACCAAAACCAACACAACAACCAACAGTTCAAAACACTGCACCACAACCAACAGTTCAAAACACTGCACCACAACCAAGTTCAAAATCCAGCACCACAACCAACAGTTCAAAACACTGCACCACAACCAACAGTTCAAAACACTGCACAGCAACAACCACAAACAGAGCAAGGACATAAAAGAAGTAGAGAACAAGGAAACCAAGAATTCTTAAAAATGCTTAAGGAAGAATGGTTACCCAGATACTCTTGACTTTAGTGACAGATATAAAGAAGCTATTAGAAAGTTCAAGGAAGGAAATACTGACCCGAACCTATTTAGCTTTATGGTTCAGCACCAAATGGGATATAATTTCAAACCTGGAAAATACAAGCTCGCTAAGGGATATGATTTAATAGCATATCATCCAAATGACATGATGAATTTACTCCGAGATATTTGGTGTCAGAGCTAAATGATAATTCAACTCTCTTCATGAAACGCGTAAAAAATAGAGACGGAACGAAAGAAGAAAGGTTTATGAGTCCGGATGACTTAGATAGGGAACTTTTAAAAACGGTCTCGGAATATATGAAATGCCAGCAGATGAGGTACAAGAAACTCCACAGGAAGAAGTTCAGATACAACCAGACATGGAAGAAATAGTTCAGCAACAACAGCTAGAAGAGCCTGAAGGAAACGAACAAGTCCCTCCTTTGGAAACTAACTTCACAGAACTAGATGAAGATTTGGAACAGCCGAAAAATCTTGACCCTCAACAAGAGTATGCGGAGAATATGGAATCTTTCCAAGAGTCTAAGAAAAATTCGCTGACATAGTAGAAGAATATCGAAAAATGTTCGCCGACATACAAAAGACTCCAACATCAGATGAAAATATTCAGCATAGAATGGAAGTACTGAAAGAAATGTACACAAATACAACAATCCTTTTTACTTACGAGCATATAACGTTCAATCTTTGGATGAACTCGGTGAAAATAAAAGGTTAAATTTCAACAAAACATATAGAAATGAAACATTGTTTAAAGTTCATTCAGAACCTAGCCAATATGGAAACAAACCTACTTTTGTTTCTGCAGACGATGGAACTACAATGAGATGGGGTCATAAAGCTAATCCGGATAGGTGGTTCATAAACTTACAACCACAATTCCAAGAAGTTGTAGACGCAATGGAAGTGAATGGTGAACCAGATATAGCTGGTATTTTAAGCGCGGCTTTAATGCCATTGAAAGATATGAAACATGCAGATATTTTGGACCAGTATGAAATGAACATGGCTGATGGAAATATAACACCTGACGTTCTAGAACATTTATCTCAAAGAACTACACAGAACCATAGAGATGGTATATTTGGTGAAGAGTTTAGAAAGAAAGTTAGGGAGAGAGAAGGAAGAGAACCTATTGTACATGACCTTGCAAACGAAAGTTTACAAAATGTCATAAAAACTTACTTTGCAGACAATGAACTGAGAAGGGATGAATATTTAAGAAAACTCAAATGGACAGTACCAAATGAAATGTTAGTATTGAAAAACATGTTCCTTGACAAAATAAAACCAACTACAGAAATAAATGACGAAAGACTGAAAGATTGGGTAAAAGCTTTCCCATTCACAAAAGATATTGTTGGTAACATGGAAAGAAAACCAGAATGGCTACAAAAACATATATTTGGAAACGAGCTTATTCCATATGGACAAGCTATATTTGAAGAGCTTGAACCGGAAACTCAGGAAAGAGTCATGCAAACAATAAGCGAAGACTCAAATACAAACTATGACAAAATCTTTCTAGGATATAGGTTACCTGAGATGGGCGACCAGAGCCCAAAGGCAAAAAGGACATGGGAAATTTACAACATACTAGGTGAACATGAGGCAAAGATGCAACAAAACTCAGTCAGGAAGAAAGTAAAGCTTGGTCGGAGTGGGTTCTATTATGACACATAAATCCAACTATTCTATATTTTTACCCATATAAAATGTACGCCGCTCAGAATATAACGCCAACAGTTTTGGATGCCATGAACGGAAATGTTTCCGAATGGTATAACGAATGCGACAATGCCATTAGAAGGTCAGAAATAGTTCCTGGAACTTACGAATATACAACTGCTGTTTCTTATGGAAACGTAGGTGAGTTTGGAGAAGGTTCTTCAACAACAGTAGATATTGCTTGCGACAGGTTTCACATATTTCTATTGACAACTCATTCTTATACGTGGAACAAGACATTGAAATAAAACCTTCTGCCAAGTTGTCTGACAAGAAAGGTTGCAATGGAATTTTCTATGTCGGATACCAATATGCTCCAGAAGTTTTCATGGGATATAAGATATATTCTAACTCTGACTTAGTCCAAACGGTAACATGGGCAAACTATGAATGGTTCGCTTTGAGAAACTCAGTACAACCACAAGCTAGAGAACAAACAGACCAGTATGCAACTATTGAGAAAATAAGAAGACTTGACCCTAACGTTCCAGGAGTTTATGTTAACCTTTCTGGTTCAGATGGAAATGCTGCCACTAAAGTAAAACTGAAACTTAGAGTTCCTTTGTCATCTTTCCTCATCTTCAGGTTTTTAAGATACTTGCCAAACTGGGCAGGAAAAATTTCTATCGAACTTACTCCAAGCAAAAATAACTTAGTCATTGCACCAACACAAGACCCATTCACTCTTACTGTAGCTGGAACTGGTGGAGCCAAGTTCTGTGACTTTTGCAAAGAAAGTTGACTTAGACTTTGGTTTCTCAAACTTCAACACTGAAGTAAACTATTATTTCAATGCTGCTGGAACTGCTTGGGACCCAGTTAAGTTCACATGCGAAAAGTTTGAATGCAAGAGAATAGAAAGCAGACTTGCAGTCTATATGTTGGACCCAGATATTTCAAATGCTTTAGCTGCCAAATATATTGCAGTTCCACTTATGTTCCCTATACACCAAATATCTGTCAAAGACTTTGCAGGTGAAGTTGGAAACCAAAGTGCTGACCCAGGTGCAAGAACAGATATTGCTTTAACAACTGCAATGAAACATGCAGATACTATGTTTGTACTGTTCAGACGAACTATAAATGACTATTCTTGTTTCTACAACCCTGGTATTAAATATCATATAAACATAGATGGCAAATATTATCCAAGAGAAGAATATTCTACAGTTGAGGATATGAGGTCATACAACTTGACATTAGATGCTATGAACTTTAACAACAACTTCACAACAACCATTAACCCTGAAATGCAAAGTTCTATTATGCCATATGTGAAAGTATGGACTCATACAGGAGGTCAAAAAACTCAATATACAAATGGAGACCGTTCAAACTTTTGGCTTGGCATTCCATTTGCTGACTCAGAAGACTTTATGGGTGGTATTTCAACTGTTGGTACAGTTCAAATACAATATACTGGTGACAGAGACGGTCCAGATGAATTGAAAGCAAAGAAGTTTACAAAACCAATAGCACTTTTCACGGAAGATGCTCTTTTGAAGATTCGTTCGATGAAACCTGCTGGGGCTCCTCAGATTGGTATAACGACAGCTTCCATCGAGCAGATTTTGGCAGCAGGTCAGTAAGTTGTTCTTGAACTGACTTCTCTCCGTCAAATATTGACAGTACGCCAGTTTTGACATAAATTGTATTATAAACTTTCCTTTAGAAATATCGGTCAGTTTTGAAGTTATATTTTTGTCAACTCAAGAACTTTCACCATCTCGGTTATACCAACTTTCTTTGCTTTATGAAAATATTTAGGTTCAGCAAAGACTGCTATTCTATAACATTTTCCATTGTTTGTGTAAAGAACTATTCTGTCAATGTATTTGTATTGTTTGTGTGTATAAACTTGTTTTGCTTCAATTCGAAGAGATATCCGAATACGTCCATCTTTTTATTCTAAATAAAATGTCATTTCCGAAAAATAGAAGCATAAGTGTTTCAAAAGGTTTAATGGCGGTGGCAGATGTGAAGTTAAATTCACCAACTCAAACAAACAGTCAAAGTGTTGTTGTCAATGTCAAAGACAGAGATGTTGAAGTGGG